CATGCCTAATTTTTGTTTAAGTCAAAAAGCCTGCCTAGCTGGTAGCTCTGTCAACAAGACCTTTCTCTGCTTCTTTTTTCCAGTGATTGGTATATATATATATATATATGTCTTGGAAACTATTGGAGCTCCACCAGCCATGCTGATTTCCTTCATTCATTCCTGACCATGCTACACATCCTTCTCTCCTTCCTTCCTTCTCTCCTTCCCTCCAATTATCATCCATTGCAATCCCACAGTAAATAACTTAGTCATGGTCCCTCCCGTGACAGGTGAACAACACAAGAGTGCCCAGGACAGCTGTTCTATTGAACACTGAGAAGTTCTAAGAACACCATTCAAATTGTAGTTAGTGACGAAGTCCACAGTCGTCCTCATAGCACTCTGGCAGCAGTTCATGGGATAGCTAAGCAGCCTAGCCCACACAAGTACGTGCTGCTCAGTAATGATAGAGTGATAGGTAGCGTAATATAAGGGAAAGGCTGAAGCCTCTGAAAGGAAATACCTGCCTGACAGGGCTATGAAGAGCATGTTAAAGTTGGGGAAATGAGAAAAGGAAAAAGGAGTGTCATCTGGCTTCCATGTGGCCAAAACCTAATGAGAAACTGAAATAGAATGGTGTATGACGGAAGCCAAATCAAGACAACCTCAGAACTACATCAAGGGGCCAGTGGAAAGCTACTGTGCTCTCAGTAGTATCCGGTATGGAGAGAAATGTAGGCAGAATGATGAATTAGGAATCTTCAGGAGTCCCAGCCAAGATTAGCATAGCACCAGCAGGGTGCAGATTCTGAGATAGCTAAAAGGAAGGAAAGGGGTAGCTGTGCATTGCTTTTTTTTTTTTTTTTTTCATCATTATACAGAAGAAAAAAACAACAACAAAAAAAAACCTTTATTTTAAAAAGAGGCTTACTAAGTCCCCCACATTAGATGCTGGAGGTCTGAATCTACATGTAGACTCTGGGGCAGAATCCCTATTGGCTGTACCTCTCTGTGGTAGATAGCAAGGTTGGGAGAGATCACATCTACATCTTAAAGCAGGGAACCACAGAAACGCTGAGGTTGTGCTGTCCTTCATGAGGGTGCCTCCAATGACCTAAGGACCTTCCTCTAGACCCCACCCTCTAAAGGTTCCACTCATCTCCCACCACCAGACTAAGGATGCAACTTCCAAAGATGGACTCTTGGGACATGTTCAGGCTATATCCAACTGTAGCATTTCTTCTCAGCTCAGAGTTAAGGGGAAAGGTTAGCAGTGGTGATTGGAATTCGCTACAAGGGATGATAGAAGTTATGGGCGGGGAGAGTGACTCCAAGGCTTCCGTCTCAGGACGGATGGATTCAGTCGATCAAGGAAACAGTTTAGAGAGAAACAAAAGAAAGGTCTCCTGACTGTAAGTTGCCCAGAAGTGAACAGACGGGGTGCTGAGGTGAGGAGAGCAGGGGTCCAGAGCTGGAGCTGGTAGGGATTTAAAAAGAAGGCATCATTCAACAGTATGGCTTTGGTTTGTGTGGCTATAGCTACATGCATCTGTGTCTGCCACGGATAAGATGTGAGATGGCAAAACCAGACATGTTGCTGATGTCCTTGAAAGCTTTTTCTGAGAAGAAAATGTCCCATATGGACAGAGAGGCTCCTTCTACCTGCTCATGGCTGTTGGAAGAGATGTGAAAGGACAGATGGAAATGAATCCTATTCATTCAAGCCCTCGATGTTAGTCTGAGACCAGCTAACAACCATGGCTAAGATCTGATGAAACCAGGGTTTTCAACCTCAGTACTGGTGACATTTGGACCTGTGTCATTCTTGGAGGGTGAGAGTGGCGTTCTCTTTGGCCTTTGGGATGTTGACTGGCATCCCTAGCCTCCACCCATCAGGTTTCAAGTGTCATTACCCCTAAATATGACAATCAAAAAACACCTGCAGACATGGCCAGGCGTCCGCCAGAGAAAGGGAGGGAAATCTCACATAAATGCTTCATGAAGAACCGCTGGTGAAGGGTCATGATAGACCCTGAAGGCCCCAGGCAGCCATCGGTTCTTTCTAAGCACTTAAACAGGGCTGCCTTCCAGGAGTCTAAACTCGTCATTTAGTAGAGGCAGGCCCTTGAGGAAATCCGAGAGGGAGCCTGAAACGCAGAGGACTCCCGTACAATAGTTTCTCGGGTGCCCAAGTATGAGCCCATAAGCCAATTCCAACTTCAGTCATAGCATCCTCTCCAGAGAAAAGCTGCCACCTGATGCCCATTTACCCTCCAGACTAATTACTTCCTAGGTTTTGTTTTTCCTTAAGCAGCAGCTGGCTTTGCACTTTACAAACACAAAGAGTCACCTCCTCAGAAGGCCACCAGCAGAATGAACTTGTGCTGGGGCTAGCTTGGGGTTGCCTAGCAACGCCACGCACCTACCAAGGCTGCTTTCTTCCTCTTCAAGCTAAAAGCAAAGTCCTGTCCATTAATTCCCAGCTGCCCTGAAACTTCTCAGAGATTTGCCAGCTTCCCACTGTTCGTGTTTTCATCTTCCTCGTAGGATGTGGCGAAAACTCGCTACTCTGGCCCTGTTTATCTCACTTCAGTTGGTCAGAATGAAAAGAGTAGGGGGGGAGGCCTCATTCCATAGAAGAGCATACATATTTTGAGCACATATCTCTGACTGACATGCTGGGGCTCTTGGCAAATTTAAATTTTATGTGGTGGACGTGGGTTTCCTACACAATGAGCCTTCCGTTGAGACTCTGGGCGTGATTTCAGTGAGACATGAGGCCTCAAAGTAGCTAAATAGCAAAGCACACATACCAGAAACCACACTGAGCAAGTGTTCAGAGGTCTGTCATTTAGGACATTCTCTGCATTCTCCTCCCCCACACTCTGTTAGTGGTAACTGTAAGGCAGAAGGTGGCTGCAGACTGGCCCAGGGCCCCCTTTTCCCTGAGAACTCATCCAACATCCCGCAGGCTTTTCCTCCTGAGTTCCATTTTGCTCCCACAGAAGTGTTTATGGCACGTCTGTAGAAGTGAAGAAGGCTTCCTCAGGATGTGAGCAGGAAGGACATCAGTAGTTCCCCAAACAGGGCCACAGTCACCTCATTAATAAGGAAAGGTGAAGAACCAGAGCTGGACTTTGTTAGGGTGGGCATGGAGACCAAGGTGCGCACACAGACTCCTAGACTTAGCACCAAGCCAGACTCCCTGCTCCAGGCTCCTTGCCTCCCCTCAGCACAGGTGCCTCGAGAGACTGCCCTGAGAAAACTTCCCTGTTGCTTACCTTCTCCCTCCTGATCCTAATCTGCACAGGGTGGAAGGGAGCAAGCAGAGACTAAGATGAAATTTCCTAACGCAGTCAAAATCAGTTGTGAAGCACCCGACCTTTCTCTTTACGAAGAGTCCTTTAAATTCATACCACTGACACATGCGCAAATTAGATTTCTCAGCACCTACATGAGGAGTGCTTGAGAGAAGGGATGCTAGGTGGAGGCCTTTGGAATGCCCAAGAGAGATGCACACTTTGATTCACAGGAAGGTTCCGGATCCATTACCACTATCCTTAGAAAGCTCTTTGATCTCAGTCAGGCTTGCCTTGGTGTTTAAAAACAGATCTAGAGATGGAAGTGGCCACAGAGGGAGAAGGAGAGAGAGAGATTTCAGGTTTTGCAGATAGTTACTTACAGGGACAGTCAAATTCACAGTCATTGGAGTATATTTAAATGAAGCAAGAAAATATATGTCCAATCGCACGACTCTATAACTTTCCCAGATGCCATTGTAGTGCACATTTACAATAGGTAAATTTTACTGTACGCAGATTATGCCTTAATAAAACTGCTCAAAGAAAGAAAAATGAAAAGATACCTAGAAAGTCTTGCTAGCAAGAAGGTCTTATGAGTGTGGGCACATGCCACAGATCCTCTGCTTCTCTGTTTCACAAAGGGCCAGGGTGGCTTGGCAGACAAAACTCCCCCTCTATCACTTTCCCTTTTCTGCTCATCCAGCTTCTTTTGTCCAAGCTCAGGGTTGGGAAGTCTATGCTACAGTTGCTGTGGGTGCTGGAGCATTTAGGAAATTAAATAGGCTGCTGATTTCACACAGAAAGGAAGGAAGGAAAGAAAAGAAAGCCATAAAATAAAAACTTCCCAGACTTCACTGCCCTTCCCTGTAGATAAAGATATATAATCTGTCATGTCCCCGATTCATGGCACCCAGCACCTACTCCTTCCCTGGCCTTTAAATTCTGCTCTAGTTTTAAATCTACCATAAATAGGTGGTGATAAGCAGCCAACATTTTGAAGGGGTCCTTAAAGCTATTACAAGAATAAGAAAATAGACCAGCAGAGACATCCAGCTCTTTCTTGGTCACAAGAAGCTCTTGAAAATCATATGTAAATCTATCTTTAAAATTCTGCAAGATGGAAGGCATTTTGACTCTGGGCTGGTAGGGACATTTTCTCTTGTATTCAGAAGGCATTTAAAAGAAGAAAAAAAAAGAAAGAAAGAAAGAAAGGGAAGTAGAAACTGAAGGAGGGAGAGAAAGAGGAAGAAAGAGGGAGGGAAGGAAGGAAGAAAGGAAGGAAGGAAGGAAGGAAGGAAGGAAGGAAGGAAGGAAGGAAGGAAGGAAGGAAGGAAGGAAGGGCAGCCTTTTCTCAAGATGGCACACGCCATGAGCCTCTGGCTGGAAATCAGAGCCTAGCTAGTTCAGCGTCAGGTCAGCACTGGTTCAGTTGTCTGGGATGTGCACTGAACTCCCTCCCCACTTTGGCAAGATTGCTCTGACCCCTGCACCCAGGTCAGTTGTCACTGGGAACCCCCTGCATCTGTGCCCCAACTCCGTCTTGCACCTGCATGCGTGGCCTGCTTCCCCTGACTCTTTTGGACAGCAGGTATGGGCCCCACTGTCAGGCTGGCCCAGTGGCTGCCCTGCAGGCTTGCTCCCCCTCTGCATGGCTCCCCTGCTTCCCCAGCGCAGCCTCACGTCCCTCCTTCTCATTCTCTCCATTTCTCCAACCAGATGGCTGCCCTGATTTGTGCAACGGTAACGGGAGATGCACACTGGGTCAGAACAGCTGGCAGTGTGTCTGCCAGACCGGCTGGAGAGGGCCCGGATGCAACGTTGCCATGGAAACCTCCTGCGCTGATAACAAGGATAATGAGGGAGGTGAGCAAGCGTCTTCTAATTCCCATATCCTCAAGAACAGTGTTGTATGTGCTTTCGTCATGAATCATTCTACTGAAAGATCTTCTCCACACTGTTGTCCAATGTTGTAACGTTTCCTTTGAAGTAAATACAGTGGAGAACACACAGCCTTGGGCCAGGAGGACTCTTGGAGACACACGCTGAGTAGTCACTGAGGTTTGGTACTTGCTTTCAATTCTCAAGCTCCCATCACTACAGAGGTAGCTGGGTTCTGGCTATTACCTTTAGGGTGAATGGTCCTGTCAGACCTTTCAGGGTGACCAGTTTCGGTCAGTGACAATGGTGATGACAGTTGGAGCCTCACGCTGCACTGGGATGTCATAAGCCATGTGCCCCTGAGATGTCTTTATGGCCCTCTGAGATGTCACTTTGAGGCAATCGATGCCTGAAGAGCAGTTGCATTACTTTACTTTTTTTTTTTTTTTGCATTACTTCTAAAGACAATATAGTATGAAACTAAGACCCAAACTCAACTCTGAGACCTAAAGTATGTATTCTAATCCATAGTCATCCTGCTGTATCCTGTGAACCAAATCTAACTTGTGAGGGGAAAGAAAAGGTTTTTAACATTTTCTTGATAGCTGAGGGGCAGTGTAAAGAAGATTTCATCGTGTGGAAAAGCACATAAAACTCAAATTTAAATGTCCACACTGTTTTTTTTTCCAACTACTTTATCGATGCATGATGGATATGTAAAAAGCCGTACATATGTGACACACACATGTTGAGTTTGAGAGTATACATACATTCCCGAAAGCATCACTGTGACCAAAACCATAAGCAGGGCCGTCACCACTCAAGTTAGTTCTCTCCACTCTCTTCAGGTGGGATTGTCATCTGCCCTCTTAGTGAATTTTAAGTGTATGGTACAGAATTTTTAACTATAGATGCTATGCTTGTGGCTCCGCAGATCTCAAAAACCCAGTTACCTTGCAAGACGAAGCCCTAATCCCTTTAGCCTACACCTTCCTCTGCACTGGGCGACGGTAGTGTTCACTTGTTTATTTTAATTTTTTAATTTTTCAACACTGTTTCAGTGTGTGTGTGGAGGAGAGGGGGCAGATGTGTGTCACAGCATGCCTGTGGAAGTCAGTGGACAACCTGTAGGAGCCAGTTTTCTCCTTCCACCTTGTGGATCCCAAAGATCAAACTCAGGCCATCTGCCTTGGAGGCCAGTGCCATTACCCACTGAGCCACCCCATCTGCCCTTGTTTATATGTTGCGTACGTATATGCCATAGGCATAGCCGTCACCCCCGAGCTAAGTGGGTACCACACAGTGAGAGACGATACAGGCCTCAAACATTTGCTCTGGGCAGGACAGCTTTGCAGACCTCTCATCCACCCTCCGAGCTCTGACCAGACTAAAACCTCACTTAGTTTCTGAGGCTATGCATGCGAGGGTGACGAGACTGAAGACAGCCACCCCTGTTGTGCGCCTCTGCAATGATCCGCCTGAAACACATCCCGGTGTAATGACAGGGCTGTATTAGCCTGTGGGTCATGTGATCTCCCAACTTCAAAAACTTTGTACTGCCCATAATATCAGTGTAGTCGTGTGGCCGATCCCCATCAAAATGACTCAGGGGTCAGAGTTCACTTGAAGTTGAAGTTGTCTCAGGGATTAAAGGATCTACACATGCAGTTATCTGAGCTCGTAAGAAGGTTTATGCTCCCACTGAGCCAGCCATAGAGAATGGGTGTTAACACCATCTGGCATCCAAGTCAGGCCTGCTTCTTGGTCTGTAGATTCAGCCTCAGGTGATCAATCAAAGTAGGATGCAACTTGATGAGAAACAAATGAATGTTAGACATTCTAGGCTTCCTTTTTCTTCAGTCTCATAATGGACATCTCGCAGATGCCATAACGATTAGCTTTGTGTACATAGGTAGTTTGTGGATAAACAGACATATTTACACTGATTGCGGTTCACCGTCCAAGGCTTTCACAGGCCAGAGGCACTTGTGACACTGCCCTTCATTCATTTTTCCCTCCGCTGAAACAAAGCCAGAATTGAAGCCACCTTGGTTTCGGTTTTTAGCAAGGTGAGGCATAACTGCAGGAGGCATTTTTTTTTTTTTTTTTTTTTTTTGAGTCAGACTCCAACGACTCTTTGCTTCTGCCTCCCTGGTGATTTCACCGAACACTGCGGTGGCTTACAGATCAGCTCCTTCTGCTTTCAGAAAGGAGCCTCTTTCCTGGCCCCCTTTCCTGTTTGAGGTGCCAGCGGCTGAGAGCATAGCAAATTGCTGGAGTGTGGCACACAGAAAAGAGATTCCTGGGGAGGTCAGTGTCCCCAAACTTGTCCTGTGCCATCTACTTCCCTCTCTGCCAGCCTCACCTTGATCCTAGCTCTCAACCTGAGGTACCTGATCTCCAAGCTGGAGGGCTTGCCTCATAGGCCTAACCCAGAATCCCTTGCAGAGGCAGAGCCCCAGTGCAGAAAAAGGCTAGGACAAAAGCAAATGAAGCCGTGATTATGCTAAAGATAATAATGGCCTTCTTATGGGAACTATTAAAGCAACCTCCCAAGGAAGTAATTAACCACCAAGAAGAAAGTCGCTGCACCATGTTTATAAAAAGAAACTCCCAGTTAGTTCATAGTTGCTTATGTCAGGTAAGAGCGGTAGACACCGGTTCTCTCTCACCTGGCGTAAGCAATTCACAATTAAGGGAGTTCTTTTTTTGGAGGCAATACCTCGGCACAGGGTATTCTTTCTATGGTTAATTACTTCCCTAGGAGGTGTGCTAAGCACTTTGCTGTTTGTTGATAAATGTTAAAGTTGTTCTCATCAACCCCAGACTCAGGGGCAGCAATATCTCTCTCTCTCTCTCTCTCTCTCTCTCTCTCTCTCTCTCTCTTATTCTCTCTCTGCAAATGTTTGGAGGGTGGTTGCCTCTGGCTATCCCATCTCTAGAGTACCTGGTTTGGTCCAGTGTTGGGAATCTTCTGAAAGGGCTGTGTGCTTTAGAAAGCTGGCACTGGGTCAGAGAGGCATCCAAGCAGAACATGAATGCTGGCCTGGGTAGCAGCTGTGGAGAACACACTTGTCATAAATCTCATGAATCGGGGAGATAATAGAGCATTCTTCCAAAGGGAACTGGAAAAGGCCAGTTCTTCCCCACCTCCAGACATCTGAGAGGCAGGGGGGACACCCAACTTAAAGTGATGGGGTTTGTTTTTTTGTTTTTTGTTTTTTTTTTAAATTCTAAACTGAGATAGTTATAAACACAAACACAGACAGAGACATTTGAAGTTCTTTATTGACTTCATCAACCCGAGTTTAATTGAATCCCTTGTACTTTCTTTCTATTCCCTTGTAGCTCTAAAGGATTTGATTAAACCCTGGTGACTAAGGCCTGACCCCCATCACTGAGTTTCTGAACTTATAGGTCTCTGGTAGGGTACAAGAATTTGAATGTCTAGTAAATTTCCAGGTGCCTCAGATGTAGATTTTTTTTTTGAGATCCACAGCCCTATGACATCCAATTTATATAATGCCTTAATTTCTTTTTCTATGCATCTAGAATACCAGATAAAATCGCTTCTTTCTGAAGAGCTGAGGAAATTTTTCACACAAATGTTCTCAGTACTCTGCGATATTTAGCTGAGAAAACCTGTCAAGAAAGGCCACTTTAAGGTGTGCCCACAATAACGTGCATGGTGAAAGCATGCCTCTGAATTCTCATCATTTTCTACAACACCCACCAGCCCCATGACTTTTCACATAACCTCAGAAAGCAATGACCAGTTCAGAAGGGACAAGTCTTGTATGTTAAAGAAAAGGAAAGAAAGAAAGAAATGGGGCTGGGGGGTGGGGAGTAGAAAAAGTGGAGACAGACAAGCTGGCCAGAGACTTGTCTTTTTAAAAGTGAGAGATCTTCACTTGAACCACTCACCCCAATTTGGAAAAGAAGAGACTCGAGGAAATATTTTTGCTTACAGGAGACAAATACCAGCTCATTAAAGTCTGAGAATACACACAACATGTGTGCCAAGTGACAGGCGGATAATATTTAATTATCACCACCAAGACAGAGGTGTGAGCTCTAGTTCATCACAGCCAGGGGTAGGAGAGAGGGTGTGTAGATTTCCTCTGGAAGTGGGAACGGCAAGGTGAGGAGGCATCGTTAGGCCGTCTGGCCTGGAGAGCCTGTACTCGCTCCCGGGAGGCCCCTTTGTCACCCAGGACTTAGAAGCCGGACACAAAGCTTCCATGTGCTAAATGCCTGAAGTCCATCATTTCCAGCCTGCATGAGAGTCTGCCTGAGCCTCCTGAAGGATAGATCAGGTTCCCTAGCCAGTTGGTGTACAGGGCCACAGGGCAGCCCTGACAAGGCAGGGCCAGGACCTCATCAAGCCTGAATCTGGAAAGGCAGAAAGATGCCCTTCCTAAGCTAAACTTGTCCCATTACCCTGTATCACTGCCCAGAACTGTCATCTCTCCTTTATCCTTTTTCAGCCCAATAAGGGATGGCATTCTGCTCTTCCTCCTTTGCTTCTGTGCTGTCCGCATAGGTGACACAGAAGCATTGTAGTGATATAGCCTCTGGTCTTAAGAATTAGCTTGTGCATCTCAGCTTCTCATGTTAGTTCTGGGAGTCTTGATTTTTTTTTCTTTGCCGTAAAAATGGGTGTGATTATGTCAACTCCATGAGCTAGTGTGAAGTTTGAGCAAATGCTTGGGACATATTTTACAGGGGGTTGGTTTGCACAGATAGGTTGGCCGGTGCTAGCCTTAATAGTGTTACTGTTATTGTTACTTTCTAGAATGAAGACAATCAGAATCCAAACAGAATCCAACCAGTGACTTTCCCAGTGCAAAAAGCTGTGAAGTCTGGCTGGTCTCATTAGACTTCAGTGCTGCAGAACCCCATGGAGACCTTGAAAGTCAATTTTTTTTTGGTCCCCACCTTTTGAGTCTCATTTAAAGTCAGGTTCCCAGTGCCATAGTCTGGAT